AAATTGTCTATGTCAACGTTCTTTCAATTTTTAAACGTTTGCAATGAAATTTATTTGTTTCATTAGCGTGAATTTTTGCCTCAGTGAATCCCTAACTAAAACTTGATTTTGGCCCGATCGTTTTTTGAGAACAACTATTTTGATTGATGCATCAATCGTGTTCACGAATGAAAATTATACAAGATACAATGAGCTGAGTTTTATTGAAGTATGCAGCTTTTACAATTCGTCTATATTATTATTAGGTAAAAAAAATACACCATTGTTTTTTAAAGGGGGCATGCAGCTCTCTACAAATATGAAATGTGTTTATATGCAGTTTACTTTGCTGAAAACATCGTTTTAATAAATTAGTGACAACTGATAGTTCTATTTTTGGTTGGTTTTGCTATAACATTTAAAGATAAATTAAATGAATAAGCAGAAGATGGATGATGTGGATGCTAATGTATTTTCTCATTCTTCCAAAATTGCACAAATAACTGATAGTGCACGATGTTCGTAGGATCTAGAGTGCAATAGTATGTATTATCATATACCAACATACGAGAAGGAAGAAGAAATGAAAAGCTATTTGCTTATTTTTTTATAATTAAAATATATTTGCTTATTTAATTTGTTTAAACTTCTTTGTCACTATTGTTTGCTAAAAAATTAATAATCTCTTATGCTTATATCCTACATTATGGTTTCGGTACCAACTTATAATTAAACAAAGAAAGGTCTACCGAGAGCTCATTTAATAAAATCAAATTTTCATAAATAAATAAAAGATTTAAAAGTGTGTAACAATACCTAAAATCAAGTAAGTGAGATTAACAATTCAATGTATAATAGTTTAACATACATAAATCATAAAAAATAATAGGACATAAAATAAAACACCGATACGAATGCCCTGCCTAACGGGCGGATAAAAAACTAGTTACGTTTTATGGGGAATGAGTAAATCACGTTGGATGGGGGAAAGCCAATTGAAATCCCATATCCCCCTTCTTTCCTTCCAAAAAATAGAAACCTGACCCTCTTCTCTGCATAACTCGACGGCCGCCGAAAATCATCGGCCATCGCTGTGGTGGGATCGCCTCCAACCCGCTTGGTGGCTTGCTCACTGTCGGAGGACGAGACGCAAGGAATATCGTCGGAGATCGAGCCGCCGAAGGCCACGTTGGAAGGGAAGCCGGATCCGAGATTTCGCGGGCGATTCATGGCATGCCAAGAACAGCGACTCCTATGGTGACATTGAATGATGGGGAGGAGAAGAAGGGATTCGACTCGCCTCCCGACCACCGGATGGACTGCTGGTCGCCGAGGGAGAAGCCGCCAGAAACGAAGAAGAACATGAAGTGCGGCAGCGACTCGTTTCTTACCACTCCCAGTCGTAAAGTGCATCCCTACAAAGTCGGGTAGACGACGGAACTGCCGTGAGCATGTACCACTGTTGTGGTACATATACCATTGTACTGATACATGTATCACTGATGTGGTACATGTGCCAGTGCAATTATTCAAGTCATACTTTCCACACCAAAATGTGACCACCTCCACCCAGTTGTAGTGGTAGATGTATTGTACTTGTACCATTAGCAAAATTGAAACTTATCCTAAATGTTCCCATTGTAGTGTTAGATATACTTTGGAATGGTACCATTGAAATGGTATATGTATCACTAAACTAATACACACACCAGTGGACTGATACACACACCAGTGCACTGATGCATATACCAGTGCACTGATACATGTATCATTGAATTGATACATGTACAACCAATTTGATACGTAAACAAGCAAACAACCATGGAGTAGAATGTGTTATAAAAAAAGAGAAATGCGAACAACAATTAAATATCTAGCCAAAGTAACAAATAAACTTAAACCCTAAACAACGGAAAATCAAGTAAAGCTTTTCTCTCATCTAAAACCCCACCCTTCAGAATTCGAATTATAGAGCTGGGGATGTACTTCTTGCCGCTAACATCATATGCAGAGTAGTCAAAATCCTGATTTAAATCCTAAAATTCTACGCTTTTACGATTTTACTTACCTATTCCGATTCTGATTTCACTATAAAATCTATGGACCTTAAAATCCTACATTATTCACGATTTAAATCCTTAAAATCTTAGAGTCCAATTTACTTATTTCCTTAGAATTTGCAAAATTATGCCTCTTTTTCTTCTCCTCCACCAACATCATCTAGTTCTCTCACGCTAACCACCATCGACTATAATCAATTTACATCAACGTATTAATCATCATCGATTCATCACCTCTTAACGTTAACCTTGATAAATTAGAACATTAATCTTGAAAAATTATCATTATAAGTGTTATATGCTTTTGTGTTATTCATGATTTTCCTTACTAATATTATTCCGTCTTCATTTTTATATGGACCTTAAAATCCTACAATTTTACGATTTCGATTTTACCCACATTTTCGATTTTAAGTGAAATCCCCATTTTGACTGCTTTGATCATCAGTACGTTTCCTCTTCCCCCCTATCTTGTTGTCCTTATCTCGGCTCTCACTATGCTGTTTCTTGCTGGTACCTTTACTCGAGGAAGGAGTCTGACCAACCCCAACTTCTACCTGCCTAGAAACATAGCTTGCAAGCTTCTTTCCTGTTGGAACCGTAGGATACGATCTCTTCGTCCTTGCCATTCCTGCTGCCATTGGTAAACACAATAATTAGAACTATCAATTCAGTGATAGAAATGAGATAAATAAGTAAGACAACTATCACTGTCGTGATATATCTCAGTGGTACATTTACAGCGGTACACCAAATACCACCCTAGTGGTAGAAATACAAGAACATTCACATGGTTAACTATCAATGTAGTGTGATAAACTGCAATTATAGAAATAACACTAAATTATCCAAGAATCAACTATCACTGGATTGGTACATTTTCGTACCATAATCAACAATTTATACAACTACAGTGATAGACATACTAGTACACAAGTACTGATACCACATGAAAAAATCCAGATCTCGGAACTCAAAAACACATATCTAGGTGATGAATAGACCATTGCACTAGTACTAATATCACATGAAAAACCCAGATATGAGTTTGGGAGAGAGAGATAGTGGGGGAGAGAGAGCTACCTTAGATTCTTTTTCACCGTCTTCACCGGAAAGGGGAGGATCCTCGTCTTCACCGGGAAGGTGAGGAGGGTCTTCGTCTTCTCCATCGATCCCTTCGCGTCGAAGATAAAAAAAAAACATAGACTGTGGCGTGAAGTCAGAGGATGGCCGACAGGTGGGATGGGCCGCCAATGGTTGCTGAGGAATCGTAACGGAGGTCAGAAGGGTGATGATTTTGTCGCAAGGAAGGGTTATGGCGAGGGAGGGTTTTGGTAGACAGGTTATTGAAAGGGAGAGAGAGAGAGAGAGAGAGAGAGAGGGAGGTGAGGGGTAATTAATTTTGAATTGGCATTGGGAACCATTTTTCCTCGATACCCGATTTCTTTCCTTTTCAATGTAGGTTATAGAACAATAATTACTTGATTACTGCTCAATAAATAGATGTTTAACTCTAACCATTCATTTAACACTAATGAAAATGGATGAAATCTAAGTGGAGTGTCAAAACTCAGACCCCTTATGGGGGTAGTCAAGCTAACTTCTCCCAAATTTCTCATTTCATTTACCTGAAATATATAAAAATATTTGGCACTCGATGGTAATGGTTTTATAACCATTCCAAACTTAGTTGGATCTAAAACAAACATTATATTTCTCAAACATATAATTAAATGATCACGTTAAGCACACATAATCAATATGTTTTCGACAATTATCACCCTCAAAGGTTGGCACCAATAACAGAGCCAGGAATCTGAATGAGGGGGCTAATTTGAACCGTGATCTTTGAGAGAGGGAGGGGGGGGGGGGCTAAGGCTTACTGATTACTCTACTTACTAAATTCGTTACGAATTTTACAAGTAATTTTATCTATATTTCAAAGCTAAGGGGTTCTATAGCCTCTGATGGCTTCAACCTAGCTCCACTAGTTGGTACCATGAAATCCATGCACGATTAAAGGTTCCTCACAAACTCATTCATATCATATCTATATTTATTTTGCATAAAAAATGAACAGCTAAAGGGAAAATGAAATGGAATTATGAACTTAACTGCTAAAGGGTGCATTTCGGGTTTCGGGTTCGGGTTTAGACAAATCGAGTTTCGGGTTCAACATATTTCGGTTCTGGGTTACCCGACTCGAATTGAACCGACAGCCCTACTTCATCCTAGCTCCACTGGTTGGCACCATGGAATCCATGCACGATTAAGAGTTCCCGACACACTCATTCTTATCATATCTATCTTTTCTGAAACAAAGTGGCTGTTACGTAGATGCGCCGTCGAGGCAGAATTCTACGTACTGGATCTTTTCTTCTCCGGACTTTTGGATACATTGCTCAACACTCTCGAGTAGAGGATCTCCTTAAGTGCGAGAACAACCCCAAAATAACTACGAAACTACTAAACTGAACGAATGAATAATCAAAGCAAACAAACATAAATTGGGTTCCAATCTTCTCCTACTAATATTCATAGACAATGTCTCTATTTATAGAGTTACACAACCAAATCTCTTTCCTTCTCACCCAAGTCTCACTCTTTATCATTTCCTACTAGAATCCCCTTTCTTCCCTTACAAGAAACATTAATTAAATACTAAACAAGAACTAACACATCGTCTAATCCAACTAGAACGACTACTAATAATTAATACTAATATTCCCAAATATAGACTTAATACGAACTAATAAGAAAAGATACGCAAGCCCAATGATGAATGAAATGTTACGATGGTTCGATCTCGTAACAGTGGCACATTTATAAAACGACAATTAAGCATTTGACAAGATAAAATTTAAATAAAAGAAAATGGTACAATTAAGTAAGCTGATCCGATCCATGGTGATGATTCCTTATTAATGGTACACATCAATGAAGCATCAAATGATTGAGATTTCAACTTATAAGCTTTTCTTCAATTCAGCTTTATGGTGTGCGCGGGAGAGAGAACGTACGCGGTATTCATGGCTATTACATATACCCGCTGCAGGCAGGGAGTGATGAGAAAACTATATATGCAGAATTAATTAATTAAGAGCAGGCATAGTTAATTTTATGGTTTATGTATATCTACTGCGCGCTGTTTGAATAATGCATATATTAATTAGGTGGTTGGTCAGTAGAATTGTGGTGAGGTGGGATGGGTACTCGAAGTCCACTGTAGACCATGGCCGCGAACAAAGCTCCAAGAAGAGGCGCCAAAATGTAGAGCCACAGATTTGTATACACTCCCGATGCCACCGCTGGGCCTATGCTTCGCGCCGGGTTCATCGACGCCCCAGTAATTGGCCTGCATATGCACCAAATTAAACCAACGAAAACCTTAATCAATTTAATTAAGCTAGCTGTAGATTATTAAACAAGACGACACAGAAAGAGTCATGAATTAATCCAGAAGAATGCGTACCCAGCAACCAGGACGTTGACTAGTAGTGTGGAGCCAATAGCGAAGCCGGCAAGACCTGGGCTCTGATATGATATGATATTATTCATCACAACGTACAGCTTCTTCATCAGTGTGTTATATAAAATATCTTTAGTTCATATCCACATATATATATATTTAATTTGTTGATATGAATCTTAATTAACTTCAACTTACCACAACTCATCGAAAAATACACATGCATAGAAAAAGAAAAGTAGGCATATAATAATACATGTGAATGCGTCCATTATTACCAAGTTGGTTGAGAGAAAGAAAAAGTACCGCGCGGTGGTCGGTTGCATTGGCGCAAATGCTGAACATGAGGATGAAGGTGATGATGAACTCCCACAGGAAAGCTTCGAGATGAGAGGTGGTAACGGCGTACTGTGTGGCTATTGGGTCAATGTTGCCTTGTTTGTGGAACAACACTTTGAGGCTCAGGCTCCCAAGCGTTGCTCCCACTAGCTGAGCCACCACGTACATTGGCACCTGCACCAACATTTAATTGATTCATTACTTATCCCAGTCCCAGGCTAGCTAGGGATGGAATGGATTAGTTAATAAATACTTAATAATAATAACAGTAATTAATTACTTGTTTCCATCGGGTGCGGCGGATGGCAGCCAATGCGAGGGTGACGGCAGGGTTGAAATGGGCACCGGAGATATGGCCAACGGCATAAATGGCAGCCATGAGAACGAACCCCCACACCATCGCTATCCCAACAATCCCCACCTTCTCAACTCTGTCGGTAAGGGCAGAAGCGCATCCAATGAACACCAGTATATACGTCCCCACCACCTCTGCCAGAATCTGCATATATAATACCCTCCCCAATAGTTAACAAGAAAGATGATATGAAATTTGAAAATTGGGCCGACCGACGGACCTTCTGGAAATGAGTTGGAGAGTGATCGACGGGGACGAACCATCCCCGGGGGACGCTGGCTTTGGCTTCGGAGATGAAGGAGGAAGATTTGCTTTCGACGGAGGAGGTTGGGAGTTGAGGATCGCCACGGTGGTGCCTCGGCGGAGTGGTCGTCATCTCATCGATAGAAATGCTCTCCTCGCGCACGGGAGCCATATCAAGAAGCTAAGGTACGTAGCAGAGAGGAATGAACGTACGTACGTAGATGATGATGATGATGAATATGGCTGTAGTGTTAAACTAAGAGATAGGGTGGGTAGTTAAGTTTGCTAATTACTTATAAGGGAAAATTACTCGTGAATGGGAATGGGATCGGATCGGACGGCCGTCCATGTACGTCACAACTACTACGACAGTTTATTTTATTTATTTATATTTTGGCTAGCCTCTGTATCCTATTCTGGCTGGAGCGGAGAGGAGGATACGCCAGAAGTTGGTTCCTTCCTTTCACCGTAGCCTCTGCTTAAGTTTTACTGCCGCCCGTCTGGCATTCCAAGGATGATGATTAGGTGATACCGACGACACACGACGGCAGATGAGTCCGAATAACTCATCAACTCTAAAGCTACATTCAGATTAACGATAATTTTTCTGGATGTACTATACATTTAACTCTATCTCTGTTCCCTTGAAATCTTCAAACTCTAATTTAATTTAATTTAATTTATTATTAACTACTCTCCGTCTTTCCGTGTTTTCTTTCCATCTATGATTTGTTCCTGAATTAATTAACTACTTCCTGTCCATCACTTCTTCTTAAAACATATATAGTTTACTTCCAAAACCTATCTACATTTTTATATTTTTTTTTAACTATATTTATTGTTTCTCAATCATAAGTCTCATTCCTACTGTATTCCCGAGAAACAGCATTTTGTTGTTTCCTTGTAGCTTCCCAATAGTTGCCATATGGGTTTTTCAAATAAAATGTAATGGCAATTAGTGAACACGTTTTTTGGTTGTGGTTCATTATTTATCTTTTGGCAATAAAAAAAACAAGAAACAAAATGGCATGCGAACTGGCCATTAGAGAATGTTTCCAATCACTCGGCTAGCTGTGAAGATTTTAATCCAGTGAAGGAAGAGAGTTAGGCAGAGGCAGCCAACATTAATTAGATGGTTAATTTTGCTCCAACCAAAATATAAAGGTTCAGGATGGGAGTTTGGGTTTGGAGGGTGAAAAATTGGAGGACACAATTATAGGAGATTGTAAGTGCAAATTTTCACCTAAACACACACAAAATTGACGAATGGAGTAAATTTAGAGTGAAAAGTATCTCAATAATATAAAAAGTAAAAAATAAACTCCAAAACAACTTATAGAAAGGACAAGGATCCCATATACAAAACCAGAGGGTTTTGTAGTACTACAAAAACCCAGTCCAATGGCCGAGATTAATGCACAACTCTATTGTAGACAAACTTCACATATGGTAGACAATCTTCCCAAACTTTGATGTTGCTCTTGATCACAGCTCGATGAATTCGGGGCAGGGAAATTCCCTGGTCTGAGGCTGTTAATTCACGATAGGGGATTTAATGGTGTAGATAGGGGATTTGGCTCTGACGGGTTAAACTTCCTTTATCGTTTTAGACTTGTATTAGGTTTATTTTGGCTATAAATAGTCGTTCTTTTTATTGTAAAAGGATGAGGTTTTGATGAATGAGAATTTTACACCAATGTGTGTTTTCCCATAGAGCATGAGTACTTATGGTTCATTGTTTTAGCTATGGATGGATTCCATAGCTAGGGCAAGATCCTTGTTTGAGTTTTTTTGTCAAGGATTTCAGAAGAGTTTGGCAAGACTCTTATCAATCAAGCGATCACACTTGATTTTGGTGAATATCTACCCCCATGTATCCTTTACTTTTCGAGTTGTTGAGTGAAAATCTAGAAAACCTTAAGAAGATCGAAGCTGCGCGACTTTGACAAAAGAACCTAAACTTTCACGAGCTCAAGATCTTATCAAGTGGTATCAGAGCCCGGTTCAAATAAGTGGACTTGAGAAGAAGAAGAAGAATTACAAGCTTTCTGCAAGTTCGGGAATGGCAGAAGAGTTAGGGTAAAGTAATCTATTCTATACTCGTTGTTGGATTAAAGAGAAGTTGAGTTCTGTGATGGTAGATGGAGCGGTCAAATCAAATTTGATCAGCACCAGAATGATGGAGAGATTGGGGCTACCAACGCATTTCCATCCCGTTCCATATACTCTGCAACTGCCTAGCGAACAGATTCCAAGCGTCGTGTTCACACAGGTTCTTGTAAAATTCTCCATTTGACGCTATGAAGACAAGGTCTTGTGCGACGTGGTGTACAAGCTTGAAAATCACCTTGTGCTGGGACAAACCTCGTTCCAAGATCGTGAAGTTTATCTTGTCAGCAGAAGGTCCATAAGCTTCTAATTGACGCATCAGAAGAAGGTGTATTCATTTTGAAGCCATTATCCCCGGAGGAAGTTGCTGATGATTTGAAGACTTTGAAACGATTACGGTAGGAGTATTAAGAAGAGCAGATAGCCAAATACTCGTTGTTATGCACGACAAGCACAGGAATAGAAGCTAATGCACAAGAGGTTGCAAAATGAAGGATGCAACCGCCACAGGCTCATGAGGAGGAGCACAAGGTTGAGGAAGCAAGAACACTTTCGGATCAGGAGGAAACCGAAGAAGAGAATCCGCCGAACAACTTCCCAAATCAGAAGGCTGTAGAAGAGGTGGTAATAGAGGAAAATGGTGAAGGTGAAGTGGTTGAGATAGAACGAAAATGAATCATGATATCACGATCCTTTTTCTTTTGATTTTGATCGGGATTTGAGGTGTACAAGTCTACAAGCTTTGAGGGCAAACCTTTTTTAAGGGGGAGGGATTGATGTGAGCAAGCTAGCCATCAATAATGTCAATTTCCAAGCATTTCAAGTGGTGATTCAATCGTGGAAGAATGGCATGCTGAAAATGGCTAAGTCTGAAAAACAGTATGTGGTACCTACTTTGGAGGCTTGTATCTTCATCTTCAAAGATAATCAAGGGAATTTTGGAGCTGGACATCAAAATATAAGTTCAATTAAAGATCGTGAAGGCATTGGATGAGAAGATGAAATCTTCCTGGACACCAAACGAGTAGCCCAAAGATTGTATGGTGATTAGTAAAAATACCCTAATAGGTGGGTTGAAACCCCCTATAGGGGATATGGAGTTCGAGATAGGGGAATCGGGGCAGGGAAATTCCCCGGTCTGAGGGTGTTAATCCCCAATAGGCCTAATTTACACTTTTTATCCCCGTTTCTCTTTGGCGTTCGTGGCATTTGAGCTCCATAAAGGGTGGTTTTACGCTAGATTGTTGTGTTTCAATGTGTTTCAGAGTCTAACAGTTGGAAACAACCCTGGAGTCGAAAGTTGGAAGAAATGGCGCGAGGACCGGGCAAAGAGGAGGAAACAGTCGTTGATCAAGGTCAAAGTTGTGAGTTCACTGTCGCCAGTACTGTGAACTGAAGCCACGAACCGCGAACTGAAGGGTGTCCAGAGATGTTTCGGAAGTTAGCAAATGAAAGCGGTGCGTTTTGGCTATGTTCACGAATCACGGTCCATGTCAGATGTTCACGGCCGTGAACTGGGATCGCGAACTGGCTCGATCAATGTATAAAAGGAGAGATTAAATGAAAAAGAAAAGGGGAGCCAAAAGTGAGAGAAACCTTCTTCTTCTTGAAATCCTAGAGAGAGAAAGTCACCACCCAAAACTTGCCGGAAAACTTTCAAATTCGCCGAAAAACAGGGATTTGCCGAAGAATTTTGCCATTTTTGTCAACTTCCGGTGATCCAAATCCAAAACTAATCACATACCCAATCTTCCTTCGTCAAAGGCGGCCTTCACTGAGATTTTGGGGAGATTTGGCTCTAATTTTTTCCGATGAGGCTATTTTCGCCGAGCAAAGTTGTCAACCCGTGGATTGACCCAGATCAGCCCGGACCCGTCCATGAAAACGGGTTCTAGTGACCCAATCAAGGTTTCGCCCGAATTTGGTCAGACCCATCCTGACCCGATCAAACCCGTCCAGACCCAAATGGTTGGCCCGAGCTACCGGATCAGCAGGCCTTGTCTGCGCGGCGCCGTTTCAGACTTCATCAACCCTGCCATTTCCACTTCTTCTCCTTCTCCTGCCGCAGTCCGCCGCGATCAGCACAGGAGGTGCCTACTGCTTTCCAACTCCTTTCTTCTTCCACGAAGCGGCCTTCGGCAGAAAAAGTAACTTATGAGTTCTTTCTTCCAATTCCATTCACGATCCTTTTTTTTCATGCCATTTGATTCTCTTTTTGGGTTAGGCAGGGGAAAGAGGAGAGACTAAGAAAGAAGGGGCCAGGCAAATGGAAATGGGGGAGAAGCAGGCGGCGGGGAAAGAAAAGGATAGGAAAGAAAGGGGTTGTCTCTTGTGTGGTGGGTGGAGTTAGATTAGGGTTTCTTTACTTACTAAATACTAATATATTAATGACAAATTACTTTATGATACTCGTAAAGTAAAGTACAAACCAGTCATCAAATTCTCCACTCATTACACTTGTATATTGCTGTTATATGTTATATTTAATTATATTTAAAAGCGAACTATTATTTTGGATTATGTTATTAATTTTTTCATATGATACTTTATATAATTTATATATGTGCACAAAATATAATACTTTTTTTATACATCCGGGTTAAACCGGGCTAAATCGGCCTAAACCGATCAGTCCATTAACCCTTGACCTACCAGCTCAACAGGGCCAACGGGCTAAACCAGGTTGACAACTTTGGTAGTGTTGCATTTTTTCTATTTTGGATTCAAGATAAGTATAGTATAATGACTCTTTTCATATGTCCGGGCTAACCGAGCTAAACCAGGCTAAATCGGGTGACCCATTAACCCTGTACCCACTAGCTCGACCGGGTCCGGGTTGACCCCGGATTGACAACCTTGCCGGGGAGCCTCCGGCGAAGCTCCGGTGACCCCTCTCCTGCCTGTTTTCGTGCATTTTTTCGACTCCCTCTCCCTATCCTCACTTCCCCTACGATCCTACTTGAGTCTCTAGGTTTATTTTCGACCTTACCTTTGTTAATTATGGAGAATCGGATTAGGGAGTGAAGTGAGGTGAATTTAGTGAATTGATTGTTGAACATAGAATAGGGCGAGGGGTTAGCTGATTAATGGTGCATGAATGTTGAATGTGATTTGTATAAGCTTCATTGAGCCTTGGTGGGCATAATTTAGGACAAATTGTTTTCAAATGTGAAAGTTGGCCACCAAGTGCAAAATTATGAATGATCATGGAATTTTTATATGTGAGTGGTGGATGGTAGCCACCGTGG